TAGCAGGGGTGTTTCTGAATCTATGGGGGTTGAAGCCAGAACGTACCGTTTAATACAGAGTGGTCTCCGTTTTATACAGTGTGGTCTCCTCATCGGCAGAACGGGGAGGTCGAGCACAAAAACGAAAAGTTTGTTTTTCAACAGTTTACTAAGTAGGCAATGTATACATGTTATTTTTTTTTTATCATTTGGACACCTGTCCCAGCTGACACTAAACATTTAGTAACAACTAACAATTAGTACTGTATACGTGGTCATTCATTTCAAGGTGTCAAAACATTGATAGTGAGTTATTCGGATGAATAATTGACTTACTTGAAAGAATCACCCTGTACACCGAGAATAACGACTATATACCTACTCTACATTACGCACAATATACAATATTGTCTTAAGTTTACTGATGTGGGTAGTCATTTTCTAGTCTCATGATTGTTATAATGATATGATTGTAGGTCGTTGACACAGTATAGTTTTAGTAAAAGGATATAAAAATACTTGTATAATAAACGAGTGAAACATCTATCTAAATCTACTAGTGACAGTCTACAGTGACTACCACATCTGAGGCAATGTTGGATAGTCTATCAAATGGAGAGAGATTGATGGATATTTATACAGATTACGAAATTAGGGAACTACCACATTTGAGAAACTCGATAGTCATTCAATGAAGTAATTTTATTCATAGATACAGGGTGTTTTCTAAAGATTGGTGAAAATTCGTGAGGTGATTTAAGGTATTTTTATGGAAGTTTTTATAAATAGTTATCGAAAGTTGCTTCCTGATATAGGCCCCTTGAAGTAGGGCACCCTGAAGTGTTTTTTCTCAATATTTCTGAATATGTTCATCCAAAAATCATCAATTTTGGTACATCGCATAAGGTTTGCTACCGAATCAAAATTTGAGGTCAGAATTTCATAATTTCAATCGGTCGGGGGTGGGTTGAAGTTGAAAACAATCCCATTTTTTTATGGTATTTTTTTTCACATTCTGATTTTAGAAATAATAATTACCTGAAAGTTTTTTACGTAAAGGAGGTATTCTTTGTTTACGTGAAAAACCTTCAGGTATCATATTATTTTATATGGTTTTATTCAACTTGCAATGTACGTGAGTATGTTTGTTCGGGTAGAATTTTTGAACTTAATTTTAAAGTAGATATCTTCAACCATTGACCTGAAATTTTCTATCCAAGTTTGGATGAAAATGTACGATGACGTGGTGTGACGTTATCCTAAATCCAATATGGCGGACCATCCAAGATGGCGGAATAGTTATTTTTAATGCACTTCTATAATATTGGGTATCAAATGAGAGGGCTTGCTGAGAATAATTGAAAATGATGTGATATTGAAGTTTTTTGTGCTTTCCTATAAATTGAAAGAGTTCCCTGAGAATGAAAATGCAGGTTTAAAAATAATCAATATTTGAGCCTGTAACATAGATTGATTAACTTTGACTTTTGTAATTTGGCGAGATGGGCGCCATACTGAGATACCTAGCCATCGATAACTAAAAAGTAAAAAATAAATTAAAAGTAAAAAACTTTGAGAAAAAAGTTTTTATTTTAGGGCTCTAAAAAGAAGAAAATGAAATGTTCATTTTCAATTTTAACTATCAACTTATAACCTCATTATACACAATTTATATGATCATAAAAGCTTGTCGCGATCATCAATATTCAATTAAATTGAAATTATAGAAATTTCAACTTATGGATTCACTTCTGTGGATAAACTATTACTAATTCAATTATGTAAAATCTGCTGAGTTTAAATTTTTAAAATTTCAATTTCATTGAATATTGATCATCGCGACAAGCTTATGATCTTACAAACTGTGTATAATGAGTTTATAAGTTGACAATTGACATTGAAAAGGAACATTTCATTTTCTTGTTTTTCAGCGTTTCAATAAAAACTTTTCCAAGAATTTCTTTTTACTTTTGATTTTCTGAAATCAGAATGTGTAAGAAACATATCAACCATACCAGTATGATATACGCCTCTGATTGACATCTTGAAATCCTGAGCCCCAATTCTGATTCAGCATCAACAGTTTATGTGATATACCTATAATTTCATTGTTTTTGAATGAACGGTTTCGGAGATATTGAGTTGAATACCGTCTCCACTGTCTCCAGGGTGCCATAAGGCAGCATTAGTTTTCAACAAATATTTATGTGAATTTTTCCCCATAAAAGCACCTCAGGAACCATCCCATGAATTTTTCACCAATGTTTTTAGGAAACACTCTGTAGAATTTCCAAAGAAGGAACTACCACCACCGATGCAACCTATAAGTACACGCTAAATTATGATCATTTTTAAGTGTGTTCGAAACGTTTGATGGTGACCCAATTTTGTGAAAGCTAATGAACAAACAAAAACATAGATGGTGCATGAAGATGATTAAATGATAATGCAGATGAACTGTCGTGAACATCACTATTTACACCAAGAGAAAAACATGGTAGACTTACCAATATTGCCGTGTAAACTGTTCAAGAGTCCCTGTTCTAAATGGTATTATGGGTGTACAAAATACTACCCGACAAATGTAATAACACGTGAAAAGATTGTCAATTCAGGATTTCCTTATTGAACGTTACATTTGTCTTGTAGTTGGATTGTACAAGTAGTGTGATATGTACATTCATGTGATAATTTTCTATATAGCGACACATTTACAATCATTTAAAGCTCTCAATTTTGATTCTATATTATTTATAATTTTGATATAATATATTGGTATACCACTTTATATACCCTGCAATCAATTCAGCACTCGAAATACTTTTTATAGATGATTGAAATCATACAGGGTGTCCACAAAACCGTTTATTAAAATCCGGAGAGCGTCCAGAAATCATCCAAAGAATGCGAGTTGAACATTTCATTCGATTTTTATTTTCGAGGATCACCCTGTATTCGAAGGACTAGCATAGTATTGTCTCAAATCTAAATCTACACACAACATTGATTCAACTTGTTAGATAATAGATATGTATAGTAGAAAAGCTAATCCAAAAATACGCAGTCACATAGATTTATTTTATACATATATGTATAGATATACGTGATGAAGAGATATGTCATCCAATCAACTACTGCATCATGTAGAGAAAGAAAGGGGTTGTGATAAAATTTTTTTGGTGGCCATTTTTTTCGCCGGTGAGTGTATTTTGTCTTGCTCAAGACTTTAGAAAAACTCGAATTTCTCTCATGTAAAAAAATGTCGAATAAATCTCTTCTATCTAAACTCAAATTTACATCATTTACCCTAATGCATTATTTGGATGCCGTGTTTTTTTTTTTAACAACGATTCACGCTCCGAGCAGTGGAATATAGGAATAATTTGAACATAGAGTTTTCGATAACCAAGGACAAACAATAATTTTCTTTGCACAGCGCCCCAAAGAAAATATTTTTATCATACTGACAAGCTAGACGAGCTTTCCTTCGAAGGCGGGTTATACAAGGTGGAGACTCTAACGCCACGAACGCATATTTATAGGTATTTGAAAGCATCATCCTTTAAATTATGCGCCAGGCGCGTTCTTTCTCTCGATCCAAAATTGCTTTGGACAATTGACGGTATTTGAACGAAAATCAATTTGACACTTCTGTCATAATGACTTTGTTTATTGTTTGATTACATTTGAGAGTATTGATTGAGTAAGTTTGGAATATGATGAAGTATATGAGATCATAATTGGAGTTCAAAAAGGAAATAGTTATTTGTTTTATAATAGTGATGCCATTGATTACTTGGATAGCACGGATTTTATAGGTAGGTTGCCAAGCATGCTGAAGCCAATTTATTTTACCTCCCACGGGAGGTAATGTTCGTTTTTCTCCCGTGGGAGTAGATTGATAGTTTGTGTCCTTGAATGAGATATCAAACGTCTAATTCGGTGAGTAGATACATTAAATTGTTGACGAATGTCTGGAATTTTCAGAAAGAATATTCATCTCTCCGCTATCGAATTTTTTCCAGCTAGAGTCTCCACACTGTATACTGGAGGAAGAACGGCAGAGGAATTTAATAACTCATCTCGGAAATCTGACGTGGATATTTCCGAACCGTTTAGTTTTCTCATTATTTTTGTTTCATTCGTGTGATTGCGCTGACAATTCCGGTCAGTTCCAAGAAAAATAAGTATTGGATGCTAGAAACTTTGAAATATTCATTCAGGATAGTTCCGTATATGTAATATAAAATGTCTTTCAGCTTCTAGAAACACATACAGAAGTTGACCAATAAGTTCAGAATGGTTTCTACAATTTTTAGAACATATTATGCTAATATTCAGCAGATATATCGGGTGACTCGTTCTAGTCCTGTAAAGTGTGTTTCGGGATGTTATACATAATTTTTTTTTAGGCAATTGTGATTCTTTTCACTTCAGACTACTCAGACATAGTACTTGTTTTGAAGCGTTAAAGTGTGGTTTTTTTTGTATTTGCCAGACGATTTCTTCAAATAGAAAGATAATTTTTTTATTCCAAATTTGTGCTCAAGTATTGCTTTGAGACCCTTTTAATTAAAATGTTGGAATACTTTTTCCTGGAGGAGATTGCATTAACAACATCAATTCGATTTAGAACGCGAAGTCGGTTGAGAAATTCAGGCTTGAATCAAGATTGATGAATTAGACAGGTGGCTTCGTAACTTTTGCTGCTGGTGCTGACGTCACTCTGCCTACCCATTCATTTAAATGTTTTAAAACGATTTTCGGAATTAATCTGTTGAACTCTTTCTATAACATGACGTGAAATGAATATACTGTGAAATGATGAAAAATGTTGAGTTTAAAAAAAAGTCAATAACAGATTTAGCGGACAGGCTTGATGACGTCACAATAATGCGACCTTTTATAGTTTAGAGACAACCTGCCTAGTTGAATGATATTGGGCTTGGATCAGCTTCTATAAAAGGATTAATCTCTCAGTAGGTACATTGGGGAAACCTATATTGTGTACTTAATTATGTTTATACCGGTGTTTTTGGTAGTTTTCGCCTAGTCGGTGATGATGGGGCCTTATCCGAGTCAGGTTCTGAAAAAAAAGTTTATAGAATCAAGATTATAATGATATTATTGGGTTGGGACAATAACACTTTTTCTTATGAAAATGAAGTTTTTCTTATGAAGAGAATTGTGAATGTTTTGACTGTTACTTGATACGACGTTAAATTTATTTTTTCCTCAAATTTAAAAAAATATTCGTAAAACAAAAATGATGAAATATTATTGCATCAAAAATTATCAAGAATACTGAGTATGATGATGCTTGATAGAATTGTAAAATAAATGATGCTCGATACAAGAATCAATGTTTCTGATGCACAATAGAATTATTATAAAAAATTAAAAAAAGGGAAATCAGTGGACATATATTGGAGTCAAGAATACGGGGATGTTTGATGATAAAATCAATATGTTTTCATGAGAAAATTCTCTGATGAAGTAAATGGCTATGAAGGCTATATCGTTCTTCTTCCGCACCTCAGATATTTTTGCAATTTTTTCAATTTTCAGGAATTTTTGCAAGTTTTGCAATTTTCAGGAATTTTTGCGATTTCTGCAATTTTCAGAAATTTTTGCGATTTTCAGGAATTTTTGCGATTTTTTCAATTTTCAGGAATTTTTGCGGTTTTTTTAATTCTCAGGAATTTTTGCAATTTTCAGGAATTTTTGCGATTTTTGCAATTTTCAGGAATTTTTGCAATTTTCAGGAATTTTTGTAATTTTCAAGAATTTTTGCAATTCATTCTATTTCTGAAATTTTCAGGCAATTTTGCGATTTTTGCAATTTTTGCGATTTTTGCAATTTTCAGGAATTTTTGCAATTTTTGTAATTTTTGCAATTTTTGCTATTTTTGCACTTTTCAGGACTTTTTGCAATTTTCAGGAATTTTTGCGATTTTTGCAATTTTCAGGAATTTTTGCAATTTTCAGGAATTTTTGTAATTTTCAAGAATTTTTGCAATTCATTCTATTTCTGAAATTTTCAGGCATTTTTGCGATTTTTGCAATTTTCAGGAATTTTTGCGATTTTTGCAATTTTCAGGAATTTTTGCAATTTTTGTAATTTTTGCAATTTTTGCTATTTCTGCACTTTTCAGGACTTTTTGCAATTTTCAGGAATTTTTGCGATTTTAACAATTTTCAGGAATTTTTGCAATTTTTGCTATTTCTGCAATTTTCAGGCATTTTTGCGATTTTTTCAATTCTCAGGAATTTTTGCAATTTTTGCGATTTTTTCAATTTTCAGGAATTTTTGCAATTTTGCAATTTTCAGGAATTTTTGCGATTTTTTCAATTTTCAGGAATTTTTGCCATTTTTTCAATTTGCAGGAATTTTTGCAATTTTCAGGAATTTTTGCGATTTTTGCAATTTTCAGGAATTTTTGCGATTTTTGCAATTTTCAGGAATTTTTGCGATTTTCGCAATTTTCAGGAATTTTTGCGATTTTTGCAATTATCAGGAATTTTTGCGATTTTTGCAATTTTCAGGAATTTTTGCGATTTTTGCAATTTCCAGGAATTTTTGCGATTTTTGCAATTTTTAGGAATTTTTGCGATTTTTGCAATTTTCAGGAATATTTGCGATTTTTGCAATTTTCAGGAATTTTTACGACTTTTGCAATTTTCCGGAATTTTTGCGATTTTTGCAATTTTCAGGAATTTTTGCGATTTTTGCAATTTTCAGGAATTTTTGCGATTTTCGCAATTTTCAGGAATTTTTGCAATTTTTGCAATTTTCAGGAATTTTTGCGATTTTTGCAATTTTCAGGAATTTTTGCGATTTTTGCAATTTTCAGTCATTTTTGCGATTTTTGCAATTTTCAGGAATTTTTGAGATTTTTGCAATTTTCAGTCATTTTTGCGATTTTTGCAATTTTCAGGAATTTTTGCGATTTTTGCAATTTTCAGGAATTTTTGCGATTTTTGCAATTTTCAGGAATTTTGCGATTTTTGCAATTTTCAGGAATTTTTGCGATTTTTGCAATTTTCAGGAATTTTTGCGATTTTTGCAATTTTCAGTCATTTTTGCGATTTTTGCAATTTTCAGGAATTTTTGCGATTTTTGCAATTTTCAGGAATTTTTGCAATTTTCAGGCATTTTTGCGATTTTTAAAATTTTCAGGCATTTATGCGATTTTTGCAATTTTCGGGAATTTTTGCGATTTTTGCAATTTTCAGGAATTTTTGCGATTTTTGCAATTTTCAGGAATTTTTGCGATTTTTGCAATTTTCAGGAATTTTTGCGATTTTTGCAATTTTCAGGAATTTTTGCGATTTTTGCAATTTTCAGGAATTTTTGCGATTTTTGCAATTTTCAGGAATTTTTGCGACTTTTGCAATTTTCAGGAATTTTTGCGATTTTTGCAATTTTCAGGAATTTTTGCGATTTTTGCAATTTTCAGTCATTTTGCGATTTTTGCAATTTTCAGGAATTTTTGAGATTTTTGCAATTTTCAGGAATTTTTGCGATTTTTGCAATTTTCAGGAATTTTTGCGATTTTTGCAATTTTCAGGAATTTTTGCGATTTTTGCAATTTTCAGGAATTTTTGCGATTTTTGCAATTTTCGGGAATTTTTGCGATTTTTGCAATTTTCAGGAATTTTCGCGATTTTTGCAATTTTCAGGAATTTTTGCGATTTTTGCAATTTTCAGGAATTTTTGCGATTTTTGCAATTTTCAGGAATTTTTGCGATTTTTGCAATTTTCAGGAATTTTTGCGATTTTCGCAATTTTCAGGAATTTTTGCGATTTTTGCAATTTTCAGGAATTTTTGCGATTTTTGCAATTTTCAGGAATTTTTGCGTTTTTTGCAATTTTCAGTCATTTTTGCGATTTTTGCAATTTTCAGGAATTTTTGCGATTTTCGCAATTTTCAGGAATTTTTGCGATTTTTGCAATTTTCAGGAATTTTTGCGATTTTCGCAATTTTCAGGAATTTTTGCGATTTTTGCAATTTTCAGGAATTTTTGCGATTTTTGCAATTTTCAGTAATTTTTGCGATTTTTGCAATTTTCAGGAATTTTTGCGATTTTTGCAATTTTTAGGAATTTTTGCGATTTTTGCAATTTCCAGAAATGTTTACGACTTTTGCAATTTTCCGGAATTTTTGCGATTTTTGCAATTTTCAGGAATTTTTGCGATTTTTGCAATTTTCAGGAATTTTTGCGATTTTCGCAATTTTCAGGAATTTTTGCGATTTTTGCAATTTTCAGGAATTTTTGCGATTTTTGCAATTTTCAGGAATTTTTGCGATTTTTGCAATTTTCAGGTATTTTTGCGATTATTGCAATTTTCAGGAATTTTTGCGATTTTTGCAATTTTCAGGAATTTTTGCGATTTTTGCAATTTTCAGGAATTTTTGCGATTTTTGCAATTTTCAGGAATTTCTGCGATTTTTGCAATTTTCAGGAATTTTTGCGATTTTTGCAATTTTCAGGAATTTTTGCGATTTTCGCAATTTTCAGGAATTTTTGCGATTTTGCAATTTTCAGGAATTTTTGCGATTTTCGCAATTTTCAGGAATTCTTGCAATTTTTGCAATTTTCAGGAATTTTTGCGATTTTAACAATTTTCAGGAATTTTTGCAATTTTTGCTATTTCTGCAATTTTCAGGCATTTTTGCGATTTTTTCAATTCTCAGGAATTTTTGCAATTTTCGCGATTTTTTTAATTTTCAGGAATTTTTGCAATTTTGCAATTTTCAGGAATTTTTGCGATTTTTTCAATTTTCAGGAATTTTTGCCATTTTTTCAATTTGCAGGAATTTTTGCAATTTTCAGGAATTTTTGCGATTTTTGCCATTTTCAGGAATTTTCGCGATTTTTGCAATTTTCAGGAATTTTTGAGATTTTCGCAATTTTCAGGAATTTTTGCGATTTTTGCAATTTTCAGGAATTTTTGCGATTTTTGCAATTTTCAGGAATTTTTGCGATTTTTGCAATTTCCAGGAATATTTGCGGTTCTTGCAATTTTCAGGAATTTTTACGACTTGCAATTTTCCGGAATTTTCGCGATTTTTGCAATTTTCAGGAATTTTTGAGATTTTCGCAATTTTCAGGAATTTTTGCGATTTTTGCAATTTTCAGGAATTTTTGCGATTTTTGCAATTTTCAGGAATTTTTGCGATTTTTGCAATTTCCAGGAATTTTTGCGATTTTTGCAATTTTTGGGAATTTTTGCGATTTTTGCAATTTTCAGGAATATTTGCGGTTCTTGCAATTTTCAGGAATTTTTACGACTTGCAATTTTCCGGAATTTTTGCGATTTTTGCAATTTTCAGGAATTTTTGCGATTTTTGCAATTTTCAGGAATTTTTGCGATTTTCGCAATTTCCAGGAATTTTTGCAATTTTTGCAATTTTCAGGAATTTTTGCGATTTTTGCAATTTTCAGGAATTTTTGCGATTTTTGCAATTTTCAGTAATTTTTGCGATTTTTGCAATTTTCAGGAATTTTTGCGATTTTTGCAATTTTCAGTCATTTTTGCGATTTTTGCAATTTTCAGGAAATTTTGCGATTTCCGCAATTTCTAGGAATTTTTGCGATTTTTGCAATTTTCAGGAATTTTTGCGATTTTTGCAATTTTCAGGAATTTTTGCGATTTTCGCAATTTTCAGGAATTTTTGCGATTTTTGCAATTTTCAGGAATTTTTGCGATTTTTGCAATTTTCAGTAATTTTTGCGATTTTTGCAATTTTCAGGAATTTTTGCGATTTTAGCAATTTTTAGGAATTTTTGCGATTTTTGCAAATTTCAGGAATATTTGCGATTTTTGCAATTTTCAGGCATTTTTGCGATTTTTGCAATTTTCAGGAATTTTTGCGATTTTTGCAATTTTCAGGAATTTTTGCGATTTTTGCAATTTTCAGGAATTTTTGCGATTTTTGCACATTTCAGGAATTTTTGCGATTTTTGCAATTTTCAGGAATTTTTGCGATTTTTTCAATTTGCAGGAATTTTTGCAATTTTCAGGAATTTTTACGATTTTTGCAATTTTCAGGAATTTTTGAGATTTTCGCAATTTCCAGG